GGGTGGGGGACAAGTGATCCTTTCACCTGGATATGGAGCAAACAGGTGTACCGACGAGGGGACTCGAATTTCGCCCCGTAGCATAATGATGTCGGCGTCAGTAAGAATACTTGGCTCTCCATGAGATGTTATCTCTAGGTTTGGCCACCTCTTGATAGGTCGTCTCCAAAATCTTGGGTCGTCGACGGCATTTTCCTCTACAGCTTTATCCCCTTCACTATCATTCAGTCGGATCTTCAACCGTTCAACAAACACCGGATCCCACCGGTTGTACTCATATAATAACTCTAACTCCCCGGAATGAACCATATTGATCATCATTACATCCAACTCGTCGTCACCCGAAGACGCCCAGGATACACTCATGATGTCGACAAAAGAAAAGGAAAAGTCGGTGTAAATAAATAAAATATAATGGAGAATTCTTACCACAAGAAGTCGTCCGAGAATCTGAACTGCTTTGAGTACAGATGACAGGTGATTAATTTGCAAAGGAAGCGGAAAATACGAGCGCAAGTAGAAGATGAAAGTAAAGTAGATCTCAAAAGAAAAATCTCTATTTATATCAAGCCCTAGATCGAAGCGACCGTTGAGAACCGATGGAAATAGGGGCGCGTGAATTGCACGTTCTAGATCTGCGAGTCGACATAACCCTTGGAAATCGTGCCTCTTTATAATAGCTACGTGGCCTATTTTCAGTGACCGTTTTCCCTATACATAAAACGGTGCAATTAATTTCAATAAAGCATGCCGTTTCAACTTTCAAATGTTATTTTCATAAGTGCGAAGACGTCGGGTGCAAATGACGGAACCGATATATCGCATCAATATAGGAATTTTGTCAAGGTCTGTTGCAATTTCAGCATCACTGCTCGTCTTTTATCCAGACGACCATTAATGCTGGGGGCCACCTTGTTGATATCATTTTCAGTAAGTCAGATTAAGCGACATTAATCCGCTGATTGAGGTCAGTATAATGGTAATTAGAGTTCATGCAAGCAACTGACACTTCCACCAGCTTCAAGATGACTACACAATGAAAGATTCAGCAAGAACCGACATCTTTACTAAGTTGACCGATATCACATGTCGGCCAACACATGTCGGTCAACACATGTCGGTTAATGCATGTCAGTCACAACATATCGGTAATAACTGGGTGAACCGATATCTATAACATGCCACCTCAGTATGGTAAGGTGGCGACAACTCAGCATAATTCATCATTACATTTATCCAAGTGGCAAGCTATCAAGAGAAGCAGCCAAGGA